CCCTCCCCCCTCCCCTCTCCCTCCCTCCCCCGGGCCCACCGTCGTTGCAGCAGAGGCCCGCGGCTGCGCAGCGGCCGCCGCTCCCGCACGGCTTCTGGCCGGACTGGCAGGGCGACGGCAGGTAGCTCTCCTCCTGGCAGCGCAGCGCCTCGGCCGTGCCCACGAAGCAGCCCAGCTCGTCCCCGCAGCAGATGCTGGGCCCGAAGCAGCGGCCCTTGCCCCCGGGGCCGCAGGGCAGGCACTGCGGGGAGGGCGGGCGTCAGGGAGAGGCGCTGGGGATGGGGATGGGCAGGGGTCCTGGGTTCCGGCTTGGTTGGGGCTGATCAATGGGGCCACAGGGCTTCTTGGCTTTCCCATGACTGAAGGCCAAACGATAATAACTATCCTCACCTTTATCAGGGGCTGCGTCACGAGAGACCCTCTCTCTCCAGCTCTGGGACATGGGGCACCCCTCTCTGCCTGAGTGTCTGACCCCATCTGGGCTCCATATACACTTTTCTCTAGTCCCGAACTCCTTTGAGCCCTAGCCCAATTCCCTGTGCACCCTGTACCCTGCAGAGGGCTGCTACCCTCATCCAAAACACATCCAGAGCTGCCTCCTTGTTTCTTGGCCTCGCTCATGGTCTCTTTGCTCACTGGATCAGGGCCCGCCAGGCTGGTAGCAGAGGCATTAGCCCAGGGGGGAAGGCATAGATCCCCGGTGCCTCAGGCCTCTGAAGAGAAGCCCCATACAAGGAAAAGCAGGCTGAGGAGACTGCCCATCTGCCCACTCCAGCTTGTTCAACAACTCCATGTTGAGCCACTTAGGTGCTGGGCAGGACTGAACAGAAAAATTCAGATTTACTTCAGCTCTCCAGCGCTAGGATCAACTGGGCACCAGCTGACCACACAGCCTAAGAGAATTGGGTTGGATACCCAGCAGGACTTTTGCACAGGAGGCTTGGCTTGCACAACCTGCTCAGGCAAGCTCAGAACAATGGCCGTCTCCGGGGAGTGAGTTTGGACTCCTGTGGCTAGAAGTGGGTAGGATAAGAAAGCCATCGATACTGCACCAATCCAGATGAGAGGACTTCACAGGCACCGCCGAGGCCTTGCCAGCCAGTTCCACTTGATTCAGCTCCAAGCCCACTTGCTGGGGAAGCATTTCTCACCATCCTGCACCCTCTGTCTGGAGCCCTTGATGCCTGTCTGGCAGCCGGTCCCTCCTCCCCACCCCAATGGCCCTTCTGCCCAGCCGTGCCTCCTCCTCCCAGGGGCCCCATCTTAAAAGCTGCCTCCTCATGACTTCTCCCTTTCCTAGCCCCTGCCTTGGGGTTCCAGGGCACTGTTGCACCCAAGCCCCCCTGAGCTCAGCCGCAGTGGTACCTGTCTCAGCTCCATGTCAGACATGGCCCTCTTGCCACCCCGTGGGCAGTTCTGGAAGTAGCAAGCCGAGGTGAAGGCCAGCAGGCCGAGGAAGCAGACGGGCAGCATGGTGTCGGGCATCCTGGCACAAGCAGGTGAGGTTGTGCAGGCGCTGCTCAGCTGGCTCTGTGCCTCTGCCTCCGCTCGCTGCCTATTTATGTCCGCAGGTGTTCCCTGAAAGGCAACGTGGCTGCCACCCCCCCTCCCCAGTGACTCCCCAGGAGCCCACGGCCGCCAGGTCCCAAGCCGTCAGCAGTGATTCAGGCGTCTGGGGATGCACGTGGGCCTGTCTGTGTGGAGGATGGTGGAGGAGGGGGCAGGCCGCTGGGCTGTCATTGACCATAGTGTGACAGGAACAGCTGCCAGTGTGGCTGTGACACTGTGGGCTCCAGGAGAGGGACAGACGGGGGTCCCCTGCGACTGTCTCTGAACATTCTAACCGACCAGAAGGGGTGGGGAGCTCATAGGCCTCATCCACCTGGCACAGCCTTTGAGAGGAGCCTACGGGGGCCCTGTGGGCTTAGGCACAGGGTCAGGCCCAGGAGCTGTGGAGCAGGGGCCAGCCAGCTGAGCCCTGCAATAGGACAAGTGGCCCAGAATAACATACGCTTCGAGGCAAGGACAGAGGGCTCCAGGCGCCCTCATGGGCAGCCACAGTCATGAAGTCAAGAGAGGGATGCAGAATTCGGGGGAATGGCCCTATGGGGGTGCAGCAAGGCATCAGAGGAAGGCCTGGATGCTCCCACACAGGCTTTGCACCCCACAGAGCAGGGTACAGAGAGACTCAGGGCCTGAGACTCAGGACCTTGCGGACAGCTTCTTGGGGTGTGCCACATGGTTTCCCCAAATCTAGTTAGGGAGGGTTTGGGTTAGGAAACTAATCTAGGGAATGAGAAATCCAGGCCCAGGAAGGCTCAAAGGTGTGGGGAGAGAGAGCCTTGTGGAACCTGACAGTCACCTGCTTAGGGGATCCAGACCAATACCATTTCAGGCCTGGGGAGAGACTGGGGGACCTGGGCCTGGGGGAGGAGGAAGAAGCCATAGTTAGATGGGACCTGGCCTAAGAAAGCAGTGTGAGAGTCTGGAAGGTTTTTTGGTGCTTTTTTTCTTTGTTTTTTGTTGGTGGTGGTCATGGGCTTGAACTTAGGGCCTGGATGCTCTCCCTGAGCTTTAAGCCACAGTGCCACTTACAGTTTTCTTGTAGTTAATTGAAGATAAGAGTCTCACAAACTTTCCTGCCCAGCATTAGCTTTGAACCTTGATCCTTAGATCAAGGTCTCCTGAGTAGCTAGGATTACAGGTTTGAGCCACCAGCACCTGGCGTTGAGTCTAGAAGTGTTAAAAAGGCTATAGCCTCCTTTCCCAGCCATTAGAATGTTGTGATGTTGGATCCACTGCTTATGGTTCAGCCTCCAGCTCTCCTGGCCCTCACAACTTCTTGCTCACCTTCTCCAGGGGGATAGCCAGATCTTTTAGGAATGACCTGTTAGGAACTTGAGGACTTTCTTTTTTTCCCTTGAGACAGAGTATCACTGTGTAGTACAATCTGGCCTCAAGCTCTCAATCCTCTTGCCTCTCAGCCTCCATTAGTACTAGGATTACAGGCATGTGCCATGTCACATAAATCTAGAGATGGCACATGGCCCAGCTACCAGTGGGATGGAAAGGAGTCAAGCTTGGTCAGAAACTTGCTCCACTCCAGCTCTGCAGGTCATGAGGGAGATGGAGAAAGGAGAGTCCCATTTCAGGCTTGCCCAGTGCCCTTGCCTTTACCCTTCCTTTTCTTCAGGTCCCAGTTATCATCTGACAGATTGAAGGGACAGCTCTGGGACAGGCCAGGACTCTGTCTCTCAACTAGTCCACAGTCCATTTTGAGGCCTGCTTCCACTCCAGGCCCCTTTAAAAACTCCAGACTCAGCCAGGCAACGGTGATAATCCTAGCTACTTAGGCAGCTGAGATCTGAGGAGTATGGTTCAAAGCCAGCCTGGGCAGGAAAGTCCATGAGACTCTTCAATAAATACCAGAAAACTGGAAGTGGCGCTGTGGCTCAAGTGGTAGAGCTCTAGCCTTGAGCTGAAAAGCTCAGTGACAGGCCCCAAGGCCAGAGTTCAAGCCCCATGACTGAAAAAAAAAAACCCAAAAAACAAAAAACAAGACCCTCCAGATTCCACCTCTCTACCTAGGCTGGAGGGATGGCTTCAATTAATGCCTACTTCTCAGAGCCTTGATGCCTTTAGTGTGCTGACTCTACTTTTTTCTTTTTTTTTTTTTTGTCAGCCGTGGGGCTTGAACTCTGGGCCTGGGCACTGTCCCTCAGCTCTTCAGCTTAAGGCTAGCACTCTACCACTTGAGCTACAGCACCACTTCTAGTTTTCTCAATGGTTTATTGGAGATAGGAGTCTCTCGGTCTCCTGGGCTGGCTTTGAACTGCGATCCTCAGATCTCAGCCTCTTGAGTAGCTAGGATTACAGACGTGAGTCACTGGCGTCTGGCCCCAAGGTTATTTATTTAATGTGCTATCCTAATTTCCTATTTCCCTGGTCTCTCTGTCTGTGTCTATGTCTGTGTCTGTCTGTCTGTCTGTCCGTCTGTCTGTCTGTCTCTCTCTCTCTCTCTCTCTGAAATGGGGTCTTGCTGAGTAGCCCAGGCAACTTCAGACTCATGATCCTCCTGTTACTGGTTTGAGACATAGGGACTTGAGTTTTCAGTATCAGGTCTTTGATTTTGATTGCAAAATAAGAATTTCCAGACAAGTCACAATGGTAAGAAAACTTGGCAGAGTTTTATTGAGTGAGCAAGCAGGCAAGCAGAAAGGCACAGGCACACACTAACGGATGAGTGTGGGTGTGCAAAGGGAGACTCACAGCTCGGTCATCAGGGCTATCTATGATAAAGGCAGGGTTTGACTTAAGGTTATTTTAAAATGTGTTTTTCTTTGTTCTTACACATTTAATCACTTTTTTGTTTTTTGGGGGGGGCCGGTTGTGAGGCCTAAACTCTGGGCCTGGGCGCTGTCCCTCAGCTCTTCAGCTCAAGGCTAGCACTCTACCACTTGAGCCACAGCGCCACTTCCGGCTTTTTTTTCTGCTTATGTGGTGCTGAGGAATTGAACCCAGGGCCTCACGCATGCAAGGCAAGCGCTCTACCACTGAGCCACCTTCTCAGCCCCTTGATCACTTTTTTTAAACTATTTACTATCCCCCCCCATTTCCCTCTCCCCATTTAATCACTCTTTTTTTGTTGTTGTTGTTCATGGGGCTTGAATTCTGGGCTTGGGCGCTGTGCCTCAGCTCTTCAGCTCAAGGCTAGCACTCTACCACTTGAGCCATAGTGCCACTTCCAGTTTTCTGGTGGTTAATTGGAGATAGGAGTTTCATGGACTTTACTGCCTGGGCTGGCTTTGGATTATGATCCTCAGATCTCAGCCTCCTGAGTAGCTAGGATTTCAGGCGTGAGCCACCAGCGCCTGACCATTTAATCACTCTTGGTATTATATTTTCATCATCTGTGTTTGGGGGCTCTAAGACTGGCCTCCTCATTAAACTTTGATCATTATGTTTCGGTGATGGGAATCTGCATGGTTCTCATAACCCAATGCTGCCTTCAAGGCTACTTGACACCTGCCCCCCCTTCCAGGGCCATTTTCAGAAGTTCCTGACTTGGAGCAATTCTCAGAAAAACCTCACCTGGAGCCTGTCTGAAAGTATGCATTGTCTGGAAGGAACTTTTGTCCAAACTGCCTGATACTGAAATCCTGTAGCCCCACTTTCTACGCCCCCTTGTATCTCTGTCCAGTGTTACTTGGCAACCCTCTACAGCAATGATTAAATCTGATCTGATCTGTTGAAGTGTTTGTCTCCTTTCTTCCCATTCATCCACTTGCTCTCCGCCATACGCATTTCAAGACAGATGTTCTTCTTTAAGATAAGTACTTGGTGCCTGGAATCATTTTTCCAGGTATTTGCTTTTCTGTGATAAATGTCTTTCTTTATGATGACCTTGCTAATTATTTTGGGCCAGAAGGCAAGGTCAGATGGGGAAAGCTGCTCTTTTTCTTTTCTTTTCATTTTCCTTATACAAATACTGTAGCTTATGAAGGAGTATAGAGATTAAGGCAAAGTAGATTGTCAAATAATAGTGTTTGTTTCTGAATTCCTGGCTGTTCACTATGCTTCATTTTTCTTTTCTTTTCTTTTTCTCTTGTTCGTGAGGCTTGAACTCTGGGCCTGGGCACTGTCCATCAGCTCTTCAGCTCAAGGCTAGTGCTCTACCACTTGAGCCACAGCACTATTTCTGGCTTTTTCTGCTTATGTGGTGCTGAGGAATCGAACCCAGGACCTCAGGCATGCAAGGCAAGCACTCTACCACTGAGCCACCTTCCAGCCCTGCTTGTATTCCTTTTTGTATGTGCCATATAAGTCTCAGCTACTCCAACTACAGTTTCTATATTTTCTTTTTTAAAAAATCTTTTTTTACCTTTAAGTAGTTGTACAAATAGGTTGTCATTTAACAAAGAGTTAGCTTCGTTTTCAAATGAAGCCTGCTGCTAGCCTAAAGCACAATGTTCTCTCTTCTCACCTGTTTCCTAGTGGTCCTATCTGTGAACCATCCACCATGAGGACACACGAATGCTTTACCACTTGAGCCACAATTCTATTTTTTTTGGGGGGGTCCGGTCGTGGGGCCTGAACTCTGGGCCTGGGTGCTGTCCCTCAGCTTTTCAGCTCAAGGCTAGCGCTCTACCACTGGAGCCACAGCACCACTTCTGGCTTTTTTTTTTTTTTTTTTTGCGTATGTGGTGCTGAGGAATCGAACCCAGGGCCTCAGGCATGCAAAGCAAGCGCTCTACCACTGAGCCACCTTCCCAGCCCTTGAGCCACAATTCTAGTCTGGCATTTTGCTAACTGGAGATGGAGTCTCCTAGACTTTTCTGCCTCCATCCTCCAGTTCTACCTCAATCTCCTGAGTAGCTATGATTATAGATGGGAGCTATTGGTGCCCAACTATAAAATATTATTGCAAAAATAAGTAAAAAAGCAAATGGAGGGAAAACAGTTTTGATGACTCTTTTCTCTATTAAAACCCGGCACTGAGGCAAGTTTCGAATCTAGAGACTCTCTCCC